CTGAGAGGAGGGAGAGCGTCCGTCCTTCCCTGCTTCTCTTCCTCCTTGTATTCCTTCAGCGGGTATCTGAGCACCTCCTTTGCGCATCCACTGTCCTAGGTGTTAGGGGTATGGAACCGGACAACAAAGGGCAAGATCTTGGCTCTCATGGTGCTTCCTCTGCAGCCTTTGCTGGGACTCAGCTGAAGAGACTGGAGACAGGCCCAGAGTGTCTTTCCTGTTTTTGTTACCCCTGAAGTCACTTCCCTCCACCCACCCCCAGTGCGGATTGACCCCTAGTTTTATTGTCAAAATAGGTTTCAGGGTAAAAAGCCAAAGGACCACCAGTCAGTGTATTGCAGTGACTGATTTGCCGTAACCGTGATGTTCTGTCTGTGACCTCACTTCCCAGTTATCCCACTTAATCAAGAATTGACTGTGTTCTCCTCAAGGTTAAAGATGCCAAGGTTCAGAAAGGCCACGAAGCATGTTAACGTTGCCCGGGCAGAGGTGTGGAGAAACGCACGCACAGGTCTCTATCTCATCATTATGTTACGACCAGTATCCATGCCAGGAAGGTTTTTAAAAACAAAAGAAAGCAAGCAAGTCCAGTACTGTAGCAGGTGCCTGTAGATAAACTCGGCAAACACCGCGTTGTTGCTGGAGGTCACTGTTTGACCGGGCGGACCTACTTAACAGTTACAGTCACATCTCCCCTGCAGGGGCTGCGCAGGAATGTGAGAGTAACGCAAGTACAATCATTTGGAAACCTCAGAAGTCCCCCGTGGCTTGTGGGATGTCCCTGTCGATGAGAACAGCCCCCTTCCTGGGGTAAGGCTCAGCTGAGGCGTGTTGGGCCGCTGTCTCCTCCCCGCTCCTCCCTCCACGCCTCATCCCCCCAGCAGCCTGGCTCTGCAAGACAGCATCCGGTTCCACGAAGCCCTGGCAACCCTGGTTCAGCTTCAGGAGGATGAGGGCAGGGCGTTAATTTGAGATGCTGTGTGACAGGGACACTCCCATGTGGTAGCACTGAGCGTGGAATTCTGCTTTACTGTGGACTTCGATAAAGTACATTTTTTCCTAACATGTAGCTGTTTCCTCTGATTTTGAGTAATCTTAGTACTTTCACAGGCACATTGTAACCTGTGACCACACTTAAGCCACAAGCCGGGATCAGTCTGTCCCCAGCTTGTCAGCAGTCACGCGGTACCCACGTTACCATTCATCTCAACACGCAAAGTGGCCGCTGGCTCTGCAGGGATGGGTTTTATCATAGCTGTGATTTGGGGTCACCTGTGACCGTGACCACCACGAAATGTCGACTGCCGCTCACCTCTGTCGCAGAGAAGGTAGGATACTCCCTGCCCTGTGAACCACTTTTACATGAATCTCATTACATATGAGGAAATTGTCTTCTTCACGTGGAACACTGCCTTTGCCTGTCCTTCAGCGGCTCTGTTGACTGTGATTCCACTCAGGAGCCTGTGCCAGAAACGTGAAAAAAAAAAGAAGAAGACTTATTTTTAAGTTCACGTCTGCCCATCTAGGGGCAGCGCGTATTTGGGTGACCCACTGACTAGAGCAGTTCCGCGCTGTGAGCCCTCGGAACCAGGTCGCGGCCTGGCGCACATCCCCAGGTGAACTCTTGGTCTGCAGGGTGCATGTCCCCATCCTGCACAGGGAGGCGCTACAGGGACCACACTGCCCTGCGACGCATGGGGGCGAGGGTTGGGCAGGGCTCAGGCCAGGCTCTGGTTCCCAGCCGGCCAGCACCTTGCCCCGCGCCGCTGCTCCCCCCGCCATAGGCTCTAAGTCGCTGTAAGGATTGTGATTTGAGGCCCTCTCTCCGACTCAGCATTTTAAAGTAGCTGCGTGAAGACGATCGTCAGCCGGCTCCGGTTACAATTTTGGGATGAGCTTCTCTCTGTAACACATCTCCTTATCAAAGCAGGGTGGGGAGCAACCCGGGGGTCGTGCCCCGCAGTGGAGGAGGGGCCGCCCAGGTCCTGGCTGAGGCCTCATGCTGATGGGTGTAAACCCTTTTCTGTTAATTTTCTGTCAGCAAACACTGCACAGACATAAGTGAATTTGTAATTGAGGAAGGTCAAGTTTCTTTAAAAAAGGTAGGAAAACCACCACTAGGTTCTGTTTCAGAAGGCAGCAGAAGCACACAGAGGCTGGCCGTTTGCTGAATTACCTGACAACAGATGGGAGTCAGGGGAGCAAAATGTACAGGCCCCTCCGCTGAGGATCATTTGCAAATTATCAGAATAATTCAAACTGTTCAGCCCTTGGTAGCGTGGGTCATACAGGACCCCCACCCACCTCCAGTCTGGTACCTCCGTGCTGTTTCTCACTCTTGGCTCCAGAAACAAATTGCCTGAGGTTGCCAGACCCACCGTACAGTTTCTGACTCCGTATCTGGAGTACCTGCCTGTGCTCAGCCAATACTTACCCCTTCTTTTGTCATCTTGGCTCAACCGTTATTTTGGGGGTTGGGGGTGTGTGTTTGTTTTTTTAACTAATCCAAGGCAGGCCTTCCAGTTAGCACGACACTTCTTTCTTTTTAAGGCCGCCGCTAGCTAAGGAGCATGCTGAAGAGTTGTATACAGAGGCTGGATCGAAGCTCTTCAGTGAGCACGTCCTCTGGTATTTGATAGATGGAACTTGTCCCAGAACTGCTTGCTGTTGGTGGGTCTCAGCTCCAGCTCGGGTGTATCCCTGGAGCCTTTCAGTCGTGCAGTCTGATGTGCCAGTGCGTGAGGCGGCAGGTGACCTGTGCCGGATTCCTCCAAGGGCAACAGCTGAGAATGTGGCTCTGAAAACTGCCTCGACCCTGTCCTGTCTAGTCAGGAGGGACTGTGACTCTTACATTTAAGCCAGTCTTCCTCTCATCTTTTTTTCTCCCCTCCGAAAGGGAAGGAAAGACTTTAGTCATTCTGAGTCATAGCCCTTGCAGAGGATTTAGTACACCAGTTTATCAGTTCCCAGAAAGTGGGTTTGGGGGCAAACTTCAGCAAATTCATGCGAAGATTCGCTTCTCATCTTCTCATCCTCATTCATTTTAAGTTTTTTCCAGTATGAAAACGTGGCCGTTCTTACAGCTGTGTTGAAGTATACCTGATTATTAAATAAAGTGCGTGCATTTCGAGCGCTCAGTTTGCCAGGTTGTGACCGACGTCTCGATCTTGGAAACCATCACCACAACCACAGTGGACATAATCCCCATTCCCAAAAGTTTGCTCGTGTCCTTCTGTGAGTGATGACCACCGAGCTGTTTCCTGTCACTGTAGGTTAGTTTGCATTTCCTACAGTGGTGAATAAATGGACTCATGTAATATGTCCTCTTTTTTCTGCCTGACTTCCTTCATTCAGCATGATTCTTTTGAGGCTCATTCGTGTTACTGTGTGTATCAGTCGGACATCCCCTTTCACTGCTGGTTAGTACTGGTTAGTAGTCCGTTATATGAACCTACTACAGCTTGTTTATCCATTCACACACTGGTTGGGTCATACCTGGTTTTTTACTATTGCAAATAAAGCTGCTATGAATAGATACGTACCAGTCTTTGTATGTTTTCACGTTTCTTGGGTAAATACATAGGTGTGAAATGGTCAGGTGCTGGGCACATAGTTAACTTTTTAAGAAACTGCCAAACTTATTTTTTTCAATTGAAGTGCAGTCAGTTAATTACAGTGTGTCAGTTTCCAGTGCACAGCACAATGTCCCAGTCTTGCATACACATACATACATTCATTTTCATTTTCCAGGCTTTTAAAAAGTGATTGTACCGTTTTGACCTTCTTGCCAGTAGTATAAGCTCCATTTGTCTCACATCCTCACCAGCACCTGATGGTCAGATAGTCAGTTTTGGGTTGGTTTTTTTTTTAACTTTAATCACTCTAGTGGGTAGACAGTGGTATCTGATTATGGTATTATTTGCATTTTCCTAATGATCAGGGATGGTGAGCATCTTTTAATGTGCTTATTTGTCATCCATGTATCTTTACTGGTGGAGTGTTGACTCAGATATTCTACCCTTTAATTGGGTTGTCCTACTATTGCTGCATTCTGGAGGTTCTTATGGCAGATGCATGCTTGGCAGAGGTTCTCCTTGCCTTCTTGTGGCTTGTCTTCCCTTTCTCAGCATTGTCTTTGGAAGAGCAGTTTTAAAGTTGGATGAAAGCTAATTTATCAAGTTATCTTACGGGTCGCGCTTTTAGTGTTGTAGCCAAGGAATTTTTGACTGAATGTCACAAGATTTTTATCTGTGTTTCCTTCTAGAATTTTTATGGTTTGGGTTTTACATTGGTGTCCATGATCCGTTTAGGGTTAAGTTTGTATATAGTGTGAGGTATGGATCCAAGTTCTTTTTTTTTTCCCAGAACCATTAATTTGAAAAAACTTTTTTTTTTGGTAAAATGATTTTTTTTCTAATTATAAAAGTAAGACATTTGTAAAATACAGGAAAGTGTAAAGTCGGTATCTTGCTAATTTTTTTTTAACTCACCGAGGGATGTTTAAGGATATTGTGGGGAATTGGGGAGAAGTTCTGAGTGTGAACTTCACAAAACTGGAATCACAGTATATTTTGTGTCCTTTTAAAATTTTTCACATTACATCAGTGTTTAATCATGTGATGTAATGTTCTTTAAATGCATGATTTTTTAATGCATGCATGATTATTCTATCAGATAGACATATACTTTACCCCTTTTATTAGACGTTATCAACTTTTTTCTTAAAATTTGCTTTGAATGTGCTTATCCTTAAATCTTTGTTCCTTGTTTTTTTTCCTTACATTTTTAGAAATGAATTATCAAGTCACCATACACATACAAATAAAAGGCTTTGATTACCCATTTCCACAGAGTATTCCAGAAAAGTTTCAACACTTTACACTCCCAACAGCAGTGACTGAGAAATTCAGTTCTTTAATTAATTTTTTTATTTTCTGAAGTATAGTTGATCTGCAGTTTTATATTGGTTTCACATGTATAACACAGTGATTCAGTATTTTTATAGATTATAATTGTTTCAAGTTATTATAAAATATTGGTTATATTCCCTGTGCTGTATATTACATCTTAGTATCTTATTTAAGAAATTTAATTTTTTATGGCAAGTGTTGTTTGTCTTTGCAAAACTCTCAAGAGTGCTCCTGGACACCCCTCCCTTGTCCTCGGGGGTGTCTCTAACCTTGGCCGTTGTCTCCCAGCTTCTCCCGCATCCTTAGTAGACATACCGGCCTCTGCTTGGCACCATCGGCACTGACGAAGTTAAGCAGACTCCTTGCCCCCTTTCACCAAAAACTTGCCAGGACGAGTATACGTCCCTCCCAGGTTGGTAATTGTCTAAGACAAAAACCTGTCCCTCTTCTCAGACATGGTCCCTCCTTGTCTCCCCGAGTGCTCTGTTTCTCCCCTGCTGTTTACCCTCAGCACCTCCGCTTTCTCCCCCACCAGGCGCCCTGACTCCCCCTTTCTCTTCTCTCCGGGCACAAGGCTCTTGGAAAGGAAGCCTCCCCTAGCTGGAAGCCATCTCCTCCTCACTCCTGCAGCAGTCACGTCGGTGTTTCTGCCTTCTGCTGGCTTGCCCCCGCCCACCCCGCCCCACTCTCTTTCTTGCTGAAGTTTGGTGTCTTCTTCATTCCTAAGTGATGAATCCTGTGCGTGAATTGCAGGGTGGTTCTGGGACTCTGAGCAGCCTGTCTTTTGCCCCCTTTTCCTTCCTGCACAGCAGCTCAGCCTGTGCAGCTCGGCCTGTGCCTCTTCCCCTCCAGGTGGCCTGGCTTCGTCCTGCACTGGCGACCACTGGGCTCGGTCACGAGTCGCGCGGGGGCTCGGTTTGACTCTGTCCGGGTGAGGAGCTCCTCAGCCGGCCTCGTCCCCGTCCCCACCCCTCCCTGCGCACAGGCCAGGCCCACGTTCTCGGGGAAGCGGTTGCGCTGGCTTGCAGGTCTCGCTGCTCCTCCAGCCCCGTCTCCGGCACCCCGCTGGACGGGCGCCCCCTTCTCCCCAGTCCACCTCTCCGCTGCCCAGCGCTCCGTGCTGCGGCCCTCCCTGCGCGGCGAGCTCGGCACCTGTCTGTCCTAGGGGTTCTCGTGGCCTGCGGGGCGGCTCCCCACACCCCTCTCCCCGTTCTTTATTGTACATTCTTGAAGACAAAAGTCCAGTATTCTTGTCCTTTGCTGACCTTCTGTGTTACTTGTTTACGCCACAGAATATTGCTTCTACCACTGATTCGTCACTCTGATACCTCCTCGTGGCAGCTTTTACTTTATAATCAGTCACACTGCTCGCCCTGACATAAGGCGTCTTTTCTGCAGCTGCAGCTCGTGGGCGCCTAGAAAACGGGGTCCCCATCTGCACCCCCAGCGACTCGGTTGGCGCCACGTGACAGGTGTGGGTAGTGTCTCTCACGTCGGCATCCCTGTGGATCTGAATAGAGTAGCGGGCACGTGTGCCTGCGTGCGGGCGCTTCACAAGGGCCCCCGGCTCCCCCTCTCTTGGTGGGGCCCCTGGAGGTAGGTGGCCGTCACCCGCACAACATAACCACGCCGACCACCCGCCGCTCCCTGGGTGCTTTCCAGTCCCTTTTGGTTTTCCTCTGCGTTGTTGAAGATGGACTTGCCACCTGCACATTCACTGTAAAGCCTGCAGGCTCACTGTGAAGCGGCCTCCTGCTGAAGACCAGCTCAGCAGTGGGGCCCCTCCTGGTTCTGCCTCCACTTTGGGGCGTGCGGTTTGCATCGTCTCGGCCTGTGAACACACGGCCTGAGGGAGACGCTTCCGTTGTTCAGAACGAGACACACGTTGCAAAAGGTGTTTCTGAAACCTGTGTTACAAAGAAAATCGTGGGTGTGTTTCGAAAATAAATGAAGAAAATTAGCAGCAACTTTGAGAAATGGCAGTAAACTTGGGATGATATTTCACCTAATAAAAATATGACAGTCTAGATGATTTCATTGTGATTGAGGGGAAGATGCATAAAGCGAGGCGTGCTGATTTGATTACTTTATATTCTTCGGTGTACTGTAAATATTTTCTTTGTTTCACATTTGTTCCTAACAGAATTTGAGATGGATTTTCCAATAAAGTATAAAGAATATGAATAAGTGATAATGAATTTTAAAAAAATTTGGTTCATATGCCATTAACCAAATTGAGTCTGACTTTTGGAATTCCAAACTAACTCTTCTTTTCTTTTTAGGTCGCCTCTTGGTGCTGCCTTGGCCGTATTTGGCACCCAGAATGCTTCATTCTGTGATGGTCTATTAATAAGGTTACCTTGCTAGAGTTTGGAGCAGGGCCTCAGGTAGGTGGCTTTTATCATTATATGGCATGGCTTTCAAAGTGATCACTTATTCCTGTTTCTAAATAAGATGAGATACGATGTTGAAAGCTTTGAAAAGCCTGCCACATAATAAGCATGCCACTTACTATTTTAAGTCCATCAAAATGTACTGTGTCCAGCAGGACTTCATTAGTAGTTTTGGTCTAATGGAAGGATTGGAATCCTGGCCACAAGCAATTTCTCCTCACTTTGTGCGCAAAACGCGTAACAGCTGTAAAAGCTTATTTTTTCCTGCTCCCCCAACAGCCCGCACGTAAACTCTTAGGCTCTTCCCAAAGTAATGGACTCCCTCGTGTCACCACTGTATCTCTCTCTGTCTACTGGGCAGGATCTGGCTCACCTTGGGCAGTGGAGAGGGAGGCCAGCTCTGCGGGCTGGGACGGGGCAGGTGCCAGAATAAGGAAGTCAGTGGGACAGCAGCAGTTTGCACGTAGATTCCCCAACCTGTGGGCGCGGTGCAGGGGCACAGAACTGAGGTGTAGCAATCCTGGGGAACCCAGGCACCCGTGGATTTGGTACCAGGTAAGTCTGTCAACAAGACCTCAAATACAAGATTGAGGTTTAGGGGCTAGGACCCTCGGCCCTGGGATGGGAAGACTGGTGAAAACAAAGATGTGCAGGTGGGGCCACGCCCTGGGGAGGGAGGATGTGTCGGGGAGACTGAGAGCCAGGCAGGGTCTCACAGAAAACGTGAACAGGGCCATGATCAGGTAAAAGGCCCGTAGACTGCTCTGACTGAAATTCTGTAACCACAGCAGTCTATGAAGAGTAAGCGTGAAAATCAAGTCCTGATAAGCTTTTCATCATTTGTATACTATAAAGATTTTTTAAATATGTAAAAATATGTTAATGAGTTTTTAGCCTTACGCGTTACGGATTTTTTTTCTGTTTCGCTGCAGTTTTTAACACTTGTCTTTGATGAAGCTTTTTTTTTTAACAGTTAGGAAAAAAATTTTCATTACTTTCACTTAGCCAACTCCATTTATGCCAGTTTTCTCCTTTTTCACTTGTCTCTTGTCTGTAATCAGTCAAAAATCATCTCTGAGCCTTTCAGCATCACCGCCCCCCCATTTTAGTATCATGTGAGGAACATCTTCTTTAAAGGTTTTGGTTTTTACTTTGTTCCTTTTTCTTTCCCATAAAACTTCGTTTCCAAACAATAAATCATGATGAATACCGGTTGCATGTGCTTAAGGAGCTTTGGGTAGAACATTTGACAGCAGAAATGTTCTGAAAAATCCAGGCCAACTGAGTACCACCCAGATGTGTCTCCCTGGCTTTTGACATGTGCTGACAGAGACAGCACGGATCCCAGGTGACCACGGTCCCCCTAGGTGTCCACCCCTCCGCCAGAACTAACTTCCTTCTATAGGGTGTGTTTTTTGAGCTTGCTGTTAATCTCATGTGAGATTTCAACACCCCCTCCAAGCATGTTTAACTACTTGTTTTGATTCCTGAAATTCCTTAAAGGGACTGTAGTTATGTTCAGCAAATATACATCCAGTGTCTGCTACATCCAGGGCACTGCCCAGCTGCCGGGGACGTGAGGGCCACAGATGTCTCCCTGTAGACGGGTTTACAGTCTCGGGGGAGAGACAGGTAATTTCAAGAAGAGTTTTTTACCATCCAAATTAGGGGTCAAAAGCTCAGAGAGGTCAAGTTCTGAAAAACTTTAGTCTGAAAAACTTCTCACTCAAGGAAAATCAGTCAAGGAATATAATTGTCAAATCTCTTCTAACTGTGACAGCCGGGGGGGGGGGCACAGGACCTCGGGGGATTAGCCACCCTGACTGGACAGTTTTGTCTAGGGCCGATCCTCCTTGCCTTCAACTCTGTAGGAATAAGTCGGAGTGGTTTTGTCCTGGACAGCCCCACCTGGGGAACCTTCCGGGACGTGGGTCCTGGGGTCCTGATGTTGCTGGGCGGCCCGAAGGTTTCACGCACACACGCTTAGCCGTGTTCGTGCTTCGCGGTGCCGCACGCACAAGCCAGGGTTTAAAGTGCGCTTCACTTTGAGACGGCCTAAAACTAATTCTCTGCATGAGCTTTGGTAACTAAGTGAAACTGTCTTCCCTCATCACTTTCGTTGTCACGTGTACCATTTCTGCCTCCCATCTGAATTTACAGTCTGTCTGAGTGCTCTGTGTGGGGTTCAGACTTGCAACCTGGATTTCGCTGTATCTGCAACTTTAATAGCATTGGGCGGTTAACCATAAATGAATGGAGACACACCCTCCAAAATGGTCGGGGTCCTTCAGGGGGAATATTTTTATAGTTGGTGTCAAGCATTTTTCTGGGAGCCCCAGGAATTTGAGGGGCCAGGGGTAACAAAAACATAAACAAATCATGACAGTTTGGGACAAATTGGGACAGTTTTCAGATTGAGCTGAGCTGTGAGCCACCTACTTTATAATCCTAGTCTGAGCACCAGTATTTGGAAAATGCTTTATACAAAAAAAAAAAAAGAAGAAGAAGAAGAAAGAAAGAAAGGAAGAAAGAAACAAACAAAACACAGGAAAAACCTCTAAAAATAGTTTTGATTAAGCAATCTCACATTGTATCCAGATATAATTGCCGTTCTCTGCTCTCTCTCTCTCTCAGGCATCACTGCTTCTCTTTTGCACAATTCTGCTCTCATTTCCTGTTTGCAAATACTGGTTGCCCATGTGAAGAAAATGAAAATACCCCAATATACCACCCATCTGTAGTTTTTAGGGTTTTTTTTTTGATACGAATATACAACCATAGCAGGAAAAATCTCCCACATAGCAGTTAAAATGAAATGCTAACTTCTAAGTTACAGATCTTTATAAAAAAGAGCTTTTAAAAGACAGGAAAAACTTTTTAACCTAACACAACATTTTTGCTCCATAAAAGAATTAACCAAGGAAAATATTTCTGAATTGAAAGATAAAATTTATTTGAATATTCCATCTTCATCAGATTGTCTATTCATTCTCTGTGGAGACTCTAGAAAACCAAATAAACAGTCATGCTCAGATTCAAGGTGGCCCCAAAAGGAACATCCTAATTGTGCAGATAAGAGAACTGATGTTGGAATTTGTTGGTTCCTCTTTGGAATTCGATGACTTTTTCCTCTTGGTTCTTAAAAACAAATAGGTCTGCTACGATCTTTCCCTTCTCTGTTGGCTTTTATTATCTATTAAATACAAGCCTTTCTAAATATCTGTAAGGCTAAGTTGACGGTAAACCTCAAAAGGGTTGTCCTAGGACTGCTTTTTAACGAATTGCTCAAAAGTTGAAAATACCAAATACAGCCATTCAAAAAGGCATCCTTATAGTTAATTGCTATTAGTTAAGTATGACATCAGGCTGTAGGAAAATGAGTTCTGTGATTCCCAGTATCAAGATATAAAATGAATTATCTGGGTACCTACTTACAGGTCAGGCGCAGCCCTGCTCTTGGCCGTGTCTCCTGATTCTGGGTGGGCACCATGCTCCCCCTGCCTCCTTGCTCTCTTGCGGCATCAGCGGCCCCCCAACCCCCTGACCATCCAGCCTTCCCTCCTGCTCCATGCCAGGCATGGATGCGGGTTCCAGGCATGTTTTCACTTTAGCAATTTTTGTTAGGAATAAGGACCAAACGGGTATTATCCACTGGTACTAATTGATCCCTTCACAGTAAGATCAATCAGAGATTGCTTGTTTTCTGAAACAAAACAAGTATGTTAGACAGCTTTGATTACAGTCACTCTTGTTTTAATCTGAGACTTTACAGACAGCTGGTAAATTTCAAACATCCCTTTCTAGTGGCGTATTTAGTCTGTTGGAGCCAGTTGTATCCACACCATATTGTTTTTACTTGAACATAGATCTGTCTGCTCTGTCCTGTGTCTGCTGTGGCGGTTGGGCGAGTCTGCACTTCACTTCCCTGCTGGAAAGCACTTGTCCTATTTTAATTATTTTCATTCACCCAGAAAAAATTTTGCTTCCTTTATGGGAAACAACAGTGAATAAGCCTAGCCCATCTCCTGCCCCAATGCTGCCTACAGTCTATTTTTAATTCTGTCTTAGCTTTTTTACAAGATATTTTTTCTCTTGTATTATTCCTAATAAGTGATTTTGCAGACCTACAAAAATTGAATGCTGTAAAAATTTCCACATTATCATACAGGGTCAAAAAAGTGTTCTAAGTGTATTGCTGCCTTTACTTCAAAATTGACTTCAATTATGTTATTTTGTTAATAATTTCCTTCACATTATTCAAAGTTCTGTTGTGTTTTATGCACATAAATTAAAGTATTAACTACTGGTAAGTTTCCTTTTGCAACCTACCTGTTTATATGAAAAACGTGTTTTAAACAAATGTTGACATTTTCTGAATTGTTTTCTAATGGTGTTTTACAATCAGCATAAAGGAGGAAAAAAAAGCTTTGATTCTGATGGCTTTTGCCCTTAATTAGCAAAGTATATGTTTGACTCTTAAATATGAAAGAATTATCGATGCAGGTAAGTGTTGTAAAAATTCACAGCTCTTAGAGAAATGACTGTCACAACTGTGGAATTTAAAGCACAGAAAGCTTCAACACAAGCCTGTGCTTTTGCCGGCATCCTCGTCGGAATTCGTTTTAGCAGACCCTCTGATGTATGATTCATTTTTGCTTGTTATTTTTTTGTGTGAGTCACTGTTTTAGAATGTAAAACGCGGGAGATAATAAACCCGTGTGTGTGCATGCACACACAATATTCCCTTTAATTATTGTTTTTGTGTATGCAAAGTTGCCCTAGGAAAAAAAAGGTCTGTTCTGGTACTAGCAGAAGCCGGGCAGGTATTCTGAGGTGTTACTTCATCTGAGGGCAGTTTGAAATGGGTATATGTGCGTTTTCTACCTTGCTTCGCAATTCTTTAGATCAAGACAAAGAAGAGGTTCAGTCATTTGAAAAACATAGTAACCAATCTTTGATATGTAAAAAAGAAAAACCAGAGTACAGATGTTGTTGCAGACTCTTCAGGAGAGTAGTCACAAGGCTTTTAAAAAGTTGTTCTTACTACTGGGAAAGAGAATACACAGGTAATTTTAGTTAGGATAACATGAATGGAAACTGTCTATGTGTTACGTTTATTAAACCAAGCCACATAATAATGCACGCTAAAGAGCTTCTGGTTTCCTTTGTTTGAGGAAGTAATTAGCAGTCCTTTGTAATTATTTGGCCACTCATAAGAACTCAAAATAATTAGGCTGAATTTAGGGTGAAATTAACTGTGACTTTGGAATTATGTTTTGTGATAAAATGAATGAAAATGATGTCTATTTGTTATTTTATTTCAGACTAAAATATGTAACTGGGGTAACTTGTAGACTTGTAATATTTCAAATCGAGATATATGTAATTTTAAACTGTTCTGGAATACTTTGACTCTATAAAGGATTTATATCATAAATGCCATTGAACAGGAAGCATAAATTAAAATGTTATGGATGTATTTGAGATGCAATAAAATTTATGTTGGTCAGGAAAAAATATACATATAAATTTATTGTTTACTAGTCAACTTTGGTTTTAGATTTCTTTCTATTCAAATCACTATCCACTCAGATACAGTAGTTATTATTTTAACTGCTATTTAAATTATTTAAAATTTACTTTGCATACTGTCTGTATTGAAAGTAAGTTTTTAAAATCTTAAATGTGTTTCTGTGTGGGGATCTTGTTGGCAGCTCTGATAGACAAACAGGCACTCTCCCCATTCTTGTCTTGTAAGTGTAATGACAGGATTCGTCCTTTCGCAAGTTGGTTTGCCAACCTGCTAGTCTCCTAGAATGCAATGGAATAAGAGTGGAATAGGAGTTCGGGGCACTCGTCCTTCCTTGACCATGTACGCACTGTCGAGATGCTCAGCTTCTCAGGGCCTCTCACCTGAAAGTGGATGTGGTGATAACATGCATCCGCTCTCAGGTTCACTGAATTTCTGGGCGGGAACAGAAATGAAAACACTCTCCCCTTGTAAGGTATTTATATTGTCAAAATGACATAACGCCCAAAATAGGCCTTCCTAGTCTTAATTACCCTACCCAAAACTCAGTATGTGCCCTGGGCAAGTAAGTATTTACAAAATTAATTTTTTTATTTTGCAGTTTTGATGTGCAGAATTCAGTTCTTCCATTTTTGCATGTCCTGTGCTTTACAAAAGATTGGAGCTTTTGCTTTAACTTTTTAAACATCCTTTATTAGTCTAAATTTTTATTTTTCTTGTCTTTTAAACTATGAGAATACCGCTGCTTTCAAGTATAGCCTTTGTATTTTTGTAATGATGCTTGAATGCCCTCTATTAAATATTTTATTTATACATTGTCAAATTCTTAAAGTATATGAAAATTTGATGTCGGGGAAATTAATTAGATTTATGCTTAGAATTCTAAGTAAAATTATTTTCATTTAACCTGTCATTGATGGGTCTTCGTCTATTTTAACTGTTTGATTTATATTATCCCTCCCAAGTTCTTGTAATCATGATTTCTGAACGTTCATCTTTAAAGTATTAAGGGTTTTCTAGTCTCTCTGTGCCCTGTACCCTCCATAATAGATAATTCTATTCAGCTTTTTTGACCATTATTCTTTTCACACTTACTTGTACAGCCAACAATTATTAGCAGATTTTTTTCTATGCATGTTCTTAGTCTACTGAAGATCATGCTTCTATTAGGCATTTTAAAAGATATTTTAATTTTTTTCAACAACGACCTCTTAAAACCAAGTGATGCTTTCTTCCTGACACCCCTTCTCTTGTAGCAAACCTGTATTTAACTTCCCTTCCATGCTTTTGAAATCTAAGGAGCACGGAGTTATTGCTACATTTCAGCAGCGCTTGCAGCATTCTGAGAAATAAATTGGCAGGTATCACAGGTAACACAAGTGTAGCTAGGGAAGGCCAGGTTGCACAAGTGTGTGCAGCGTGGGCCTGGGAGGTGCCCTCCTTAGGAGTCAGCCGTCCCGTGGCGAGGTTCCCGGCGTACTCTCTCCGCGAGAGAACTGAGCTTGTCTCTTCCCGAATGTCCTTTAGCTTAAGGAAAATTTGATCCGTTTGGTTTATGGATAGTAACCCTAATATTCCATTTTTCTCAGTAGGCAAGTTAGACTTAACAAATTAAATTGCATTTGGGAAAGAAGTGGGGAGTCATTCAGCATCACCAAATGTCATTTATCTAGGTAATCCTGTTTTACTTTTTGTCTCTGCATTTATTTGGTCATGTAAATGTGCTGAGAACTAATAAAAATTTGCAGTTGGTGAAAGTTAATGCATGACTCTCCGGCAGAGTACGGAATGAAAGCATGTGTCATGAAACTGCCATTCTTTCAGCCTTTATTTTCCATCGCTTACGGACTGGTTCCATCTGGAGTGTAGTCCATTCTTATTTTTTGTTTCATAGATTGGCCAAAATGGGAAGGACTGGATTCCGCTCTCTTCCACGAAGAGTCAATGGGACTGGCTAAGATCAAGGTCTGAGGCTTTTTCCATCCATCATCAGGTACGCACTGAGCAAAAATCACTATGGTTCTATGCATGTATCTTTGAAGTATTTGATTGATGTGCATATTATGAATTTGGATTTTTATTTGATGTTGAGCTCACAACCTTATATTTATCCTGTAGTTTTAAATGATGCACCTATAACTAATTTGAGCTGTGTAATATATCGAGATGAAAAGATATTGTTAGCCATGAAAAAATTTCAGCTGGTCTTAGAAAAGTGTAATATTTGAAATCTGCAATTCTCCATTGCTCAGTCTGTACATCCAAAGAGAACAGAATTCATTTGTTACTCCTTGTTGAGTATTACCAAATTTAATGTGATCAGTGTTTGTTTATTGTTTCATGGTGCACTTTTTGTACTTTTTTTCCCAGTAACTTAGAAGTTATTTTTCTCAACTGGAATTCTCTGCCCATTTATGGTTGGAACTCATAGCACAATAATGACAAAATATGACCAGTCTTTGAGATATTTCAGATATTAGCTATAGACAGGGATTTAGGTATTTTGCACTCTGTGTTGATTTTGCAGTTGAAAACCTTCTCAGCTTGTTTCCCACAATGTTCTAAATAGGTGCATGAAAGCATCATGTCAGGAAATCAGTCAGAATGACTCTTTTTTTCCCTGCTTTGGCAGAATGCTTTATACCATTCTTCAGTGTCATTACTGGTTACAGCAGAATAGCTATTTAGATATTTCTGAAAGAGGCAGAGAAGCTGTCTCTTGAATGAAAATATAGCAGGAAAAGAACAAATCCTTGAGATTCAGAAAATCTAAAACCAGAGGGGACATACTGTGTGAGCATTAGTAACGTCAATTGCATTAACTGTGTTCATGTCATTTTTAAACTGCAAAGGAGACTTAGACCATTTGAACAGCATGAAGGAAGGCCTTGCCTGTATCTACCTACTGAGGAAGAAAGGATGTGTAAGCCAGACACGGATTAGCTGACCCGTATGCTTCACGTTTTAATCAAATGAGTGGATAACTGCTGTATGTTGCCTGTTTAGTGACAGCCTCTACATTAAAATACACTAGGGTCTATTCTAACGTACACTTAATTTGACAAAAACATGGGTTAAATTTGGAACCCCTGCGAAAGTATAACTGGAACCTGTGGAAGTCAGTGTCATACCTCTAGCTCGTGAGGGCCAGTGTCCGATGCCAAAACACAAGTGATATTAAAAAAAAAAAGGTCTTCATTGTTTTCCAAATATATAATAGAATGAAAAATCTGATTAGTAGTTAGTAATGGCCATTTAGCCACGTTCCAGATCTTTTTTGAAAGAAATTGCCAGTATTATCATCTCTGTGTCTCCTAAAAATCCATTGCTGAACTAGCATTCACGAACCTTGACGAATCATTTAAGTCTTTTATATCAGTTGGATCTTTGGGGAGTTGGTTTCTTACTCTGAGAAATACAGTTGATAATATTTACTATCTCTTGTCCACGAATTTTCAGAGGTTTCAATAAATTTTAAAAGCTTTTAAGTAGACATACTCTTTACGGTACAGGATGTACATTTCATTCTTTCTCCCAGCACCAGTAATGAACTGAAACTTTGACACACCTTTTACAACCTGCCACACCTCTGTACTGATGCCTCCTTGCACAGTATGGGGCTCTGAGCCAAAAGGTGCACCGGTGTGCTCACCGCTCACACGGGTCACAGGTGTGTCAGACAGAGACTGGTCCCCCAGCCCCGGCTCATCCACTCACCCCGGTGAACAAATGATTTTGTGTGACGTGAAAAACAATGGGGAAGATTGCTTCAGCCAAATTGTGTTCCCCGCCACCAAGAGACAAGGAGCCATGATCCTCACTTAACATTGCACCAAAAGGTTTTACCATTTCAAGAATGCATATTTGTTACGAAGACAAGTCCTTTCTGCTGTTGACTCAGAAGTCTCTCTGCGTGTGATGACACTGGTATAAAGAATCCGTTTTCACTTTGGGTGATGCGTCCAACTCTTTCAGGCCTCTGGTGCTCTTTCCGTGGACAGAATGGCTCACACAAGGTGCCTGAAAGAGTTCTTGGTTGCTTATCTATATTTTCCTCTAAGACAGAGCGTGACTAAAGCCAGCTGGCACAGATTAAAGTGATTTTTAGACATTAAAATATTTTCAGAAACATTTTTATGTTCTTAGTGAGGTTTATGTTCTCCAGTCCGTTGTAAAAAGTGACTCTTAGTGATGCCACGTTGGGGGCCATGTCTTGATGCTCCCTGAGAGTTCCTGAAATCGCTACTGCTTTTCCTAAGGACGTTTGTCAGGTGGGATTTCAGGGGCGGAGTCTGTGAACTGTCCATTCTGAGCAATGCATTAATATGTGTTTTGACAAATATAAAGAAGTCTACAGATATTACATCAGACCAGCTGAATCCATTTTATGGTTTCTTTTTTTTTTAATTCAAAAGCATCACATAGCAAATAAAACTTTTAAAAATTAAATCTAGTTACAAACTAGTTGTTTCTTATTTTTTTTTCCAGTCCCTTTTTGCTTTCTTTTACGACCACATGAAACTTGAGAAGCCACCTAAAGCTAAATCATTTAGTGGAGTTGGGCAGTTCCCAAGTGTCCAACAAGAAGGCCTGCTTTAGGCTGCGATGGCCACTGTCATCCCTGGTGATTTGTCAGAAGTAAGAGATACCCAGAAAGTCCCTTCAGGGAAACGTAAGCGTGGTGAAACCAAACCAAGAAAAAACTTTCCTTGCCAACTGTGTGACAAGGCCTTTAACAGTGTTGAGAAATTAAAGGTTCACTCCTACTCTCACACAGGAGAGAGGCCCTACAAGTGCATACAACAAGACTGCACGAAAGCCTTTGTTTCTAAGTACAAATTACAAAGGTATTACACTCTATTTGTCTTTCAGATTCTATTTTCTATCATGTCGGCCCTTTGAAGCCATTGTCAACGTATATATTTGTATACACCTCTTTCCGCTGATTTGCAGAGAGAAATGTTAAGTAGATTAGACGTTGGCTAGTTTCAGTGTTCTAAGTCACAGGCTTTTTATGTGTTAGTGTTTTGCGATTTTTTTTTTTATGCAATGCTTAATGAGAGTAGAATTTCCGTCTGTACAAAGAATTTGCAAGAAAAGGGTATGGACGTTTACGTGAGTATATTCAGCCTTGCTCGTTTGCGGTTGCAATAGCTAAAACCCAGCGAAAACGAAAGCGGCACGTTAGACGCTGCGGTTGCGCGGCGCTTGGGTGCGGTAGGCGTCCTCGTGGCATGTCCGTATGACAGCGCGGCCGTGGGGCGGGGAGTGCTGTGTCCTTAGCTAGCAGTTAGCTTCCGCGAGAACAGTGAGCGCGTGCCCTCCTTGTCACGATGCTTACAGAGTATGTCTGTGTTCAAGGCACATGGCTACCCACTCTCCTGAGAAAACCCACAAGTGTAACTATTGTGAGAAAATGTTTCACCGGAAGGACCACCTGAAGAACCACCTGCACACGCACGACCCCAACAAAGAGACGTTCAAGTGCGAGGAGTGCGGCAAGAACTACAACACCAAGCTCGGGTTCAAGCGCCACCTGGCCTTGCACGCGGCCACCAGCGGCGACCTCACCTGCAAGGTGTGCCTGCAGACGTTCGAGAGCACGGGCGTGCTGCTGGAGCACCTCAAGTCGCACGCGGGCAAGTCGTCGGGCGGCGTGAAGGAGAAGAAGCACCAGTGCGAGCACTGTGACCGCCGCTTCTACACGCGCAAGGACGTGCGCAGACACATGGTGGTGCACACGGGAAGGAAGGACTTCCTCTGCCAGTACTGCGCCCAGAGGTTCGGGCGCAAGGACCACCTGACGCGGCACATGAAGAAGAGTCACAACCAAGAACTCCTGAAGGTCAAGACGGAGCCCGTGGACTTCCTGGATCCCTTCACCTGCAATGTCTCCGTGCCTATCAAGGACGAGCTCCTCCCGGTGATGTCCTTACCTTCCAGCGAACTGCTGTCCAAGCCATTCACAAACACGCTGCAGCTAAACCTCTACAACACCCCGTTCCAGTCCATGCCCAGCTCGGGGTCCGCCCACCAGATGATCACAACTCTGCCCCTGGGGATGACGTGCCCCATCGACATGGACGCTGTGCACCCCTCCCACCACCTTTCTTTCAAGTACCCGTTCAGTTCTACCTCATACGCAATTTCTATTCCCGAGAAGGAGCAGCCGCTGAAGGGGGAGATTGAGAGTTACCTGATGGAGCTCCAGGCTGGGGCGCCCTCCTCTTCCCAGGACTCCCAGGCGTCGTCCTCCAAACTCGGGCTGGAGCCGCAGATCGGGTCCCTGGATGACGCCGCGGGGGACCTCTCCCTGTCAAAAAGCTCCATTTCCATCAGCGACCCCCTCAACACACCGGCATTGGATTTTTCTCAGTTGTTTAATTTCATACCATTAAACGGGCCTCCCTATAACCCTCTGTCGGTGGGGAGCCTCGGGATGAGCTATTCCCAGGAAGAAGCACATTCTTCTGTGTCTCAGCTCCCGCCCCAGACCCAGGACCCCCAGGATCCTGCAAACAGCATAGGTCTCGGCTCGCTGCACTCCCTGTCGGCAGCGTTCACCAGCAGTTTAAGCACGAGCACCACCCTGCCACGCTTCCATCAGGCTTTCCAGTAGGACTCCGAGGCGCGGATCTGTTACAGAAACGTATGTGTAAGCCCTGCCTTAGGTGACCGTGTTTCTTTTAGTGCCTACTTTAAGACAGTACGAAAGTTTCTGCTTCTGTATAGCACCAGTCTTCATTAAGCCAGTATCACGTAGACACTAGCTTTCCAAACGAGCTTGGGAACCGTTTGTGTTCAGTTATGTTTACCTGGGTATTTTGTCCTGATTCACTGCCAATTGTCACATTTGAAGATGGTTTCTCACATAGGAAAGCCATTATGAGTAGTAAAAGTCTTACAAATCCCTTGTTCAAATTACTTTTAGATCTTAAATTTTTTTTTTTGGTCCACTAACAGTGGCGCTAGCTTTTGACATTTGGCTCATTAAAAAATTTTGCAATAGAATGTAAATTTTCTAAAATGTATGTGAATAACCTGAGAGTTTTTAAAATTTCTACTAGCCTCTAAATGGATTAATAATCAACTGCTTCAAATGAATTAGGAATCCAGGTTGGGGATGTAACCAATGTTTCTTAGCTACACTATAATTTCAGGTCAGCATATTTTGAAGACTTGCTGTTGCCTGGCTCACGTTATTTGCCGTCTTTATTATGCATGTATGAGAGAAACAAAACCTAAACACAAAGCACCAGTATTTATAGCAAAAAAGAGACTCCTAGCAAGGTGACACGGCTTTCCGTGTTACTTCGTAGTTGGCCTTAAGTCAGTACATGGGAGATTCGCCACGTCTCATACTTCCTAGCTTGCTCTCTTCCCGTTTGATAATACTAATAGCGTGTGGCGTCAGAGTCTTCAGTCTCCAGATGGAGCTCTTTAACCTGTTCCACCTTTCGTGGCGAGGGCAGGTCAAGCACAGCCAGCAGTTTCCCTTGGGTTGTCAGTCCACAGTCGGTCCAGAGCCCAGAGCCCGCCGCTGGGGCACAGACGTTAGGTGTGTCTGTCCCTGAGGGCCGGGGAGGTGGCGCTGAGAGACCCCAGGCAGGGAGATGGGTAGTTGGATGTGAGGCCCGCGGCTCCGCCTGGGAACTTGTCTGGGGATCATGTCCCCTGTCACCAGGGTTGAAACGAGACCCTTCAGGAGTCAAGTGAAAGCGTATCACTTACATCACTTCTTGCCGAATTCGATACAGTTTTCTTTCCCTAAGAGCCAAAAGCAGAAAGCAAAACAACAGCCCTGGCCCCGTGGGATCTTTCTCATTCAGTGTGAATTCATCTTTCTTTGCTATTTCGGACAGAGACTTTAAAGTTAAATGCACTCGAAAACTATTTGAGGAATGACCACAAAGTTTTGAGCGACTAAAAATATATACAGTAAAACCCCACTTTTACACGTCTCTGGGAAACGGGAGGGCCGTTGCAGAGAAGCGGAATTCAGAGAGTGAGAAAAGTACAGCAAAGCAAGCACTAGCTTAGTTAATGTGAAAATAACAGGCAGAAACCTTGTGTTCAGTGAGTGTGGTGGCTACGCCGGCTTTCCTCATGTTACACAACCAGCGCATCTTCTCAAGGGTCAAATAACTGCTTTTTTCTAATAATCGGTTGGGACATCAACCTAAGAAACATATCTGTTAAAGCACTTGTTAACACCTTGTTTGGGGACCCTGTCTGTTGGGGCGGGTATGAGGGGGGAGGTTTATCGAAGAGTCTATATCTCTTAAAAAAAGAGAGAAATATTTCTGAGCACTCATCAGCCCTACGCGGAAGCTCTTCCCTTCTGTAGGGCCAGTTCTCACTGCAGATTTCGATGTTTACCAAGAATTTCTAAAAATGAGTGCAGATTACTGAATATAATACATTATTTAAAATATTGGGGAGTAGTATAATTTGTGGAAAAATGTAAATTGTAATAATGTAAATGGGGTTTCACTATATATATTATATATATATATACACACACATACTGCACTTCATAGAATCAAAGTTGCTCTCTAAAGGAGCTTTGGCTTCTGATATTTTATCATGCTCCTATTTTTTTTTTCTAAATCCTAGGAGCAGTAGTTTTTATACGTATGTATTTAAAATTTATTATTAAAAGTTACATTTTATTAAAAAAAGTGTGTTCCAAAGGCATTAAAATTATATATGTTAATAAGGAAATACATTTAAAAATTTTTCAAACTGCTCCTAAGCTTTTGATTAGGAGAATATTTGCTCTGAAAGTAGGCTTTTAGCTCTGCTTTATTACTGCTTCCTTTAGTTTCTATGAAACAGATTGCTTACTTAAATCATTAGTTGAATGATTAGTGTTCAATATTGCTTTAATCACCATTTTTAAAAAAAAAAGGAAAAAGAAATTTGGTGACAGAGCACAAATAAATAGAAAACCTATTTTTAAATAGAAATCACAAACACAAGTGTGGAAGCACTACTTTATTTTGTCTAAAATTTGCTAAAAGTCAAACTCGTAAACTGAGATGTTGGCCTCAGTAGGTTGTACTTCACTGCTAATAAAAAAAAATTTAAAGGGAGTCCCAGGATTTATTAAATAGAGCATTTTGGAAATGGGGAATGGCGCCACGTAGGTATATGTATTTTTAACCTACTTCTCGCCCGGCACGGAGTTGACACTGGAGCGCATCTCCCAGGGCACCAATGCTGAAATTGTGGACTTAGTTTTCATATATACACCCCTTTGCCTGTTGCTGCCCCCACAGACTTGAAATAACACTTCCAAGTAAGAGGGAATTCAGTTAATTTGTTTTTAAAATTGACTGTAGTGGTCACTAAACTCTTTTTGAGAGAATCTCTATTAAACATGAGGCAGACTCACTTACTTTAATTGCACAACGGTCTCACAAGGCTGTAACACCGAACTGGCTCCTTTTTTTTTTTTTACTTTTACGTAAAACTAAAAGTAATCTTACTTTATTATTTTACGTACGTAGTAGTAGTAGTAAATTAAATTAAATTAATTACGTACGTA